TTTCCATTTTGTTCACACATTACTTTCTTGACTTTGACAGTTGTTTTAAAGTTTTTGTCTAGTGGATCTGCCCTCAGGTCTTCTGCAGGAACAGCTTCTGTTGATTTATTTTTCTCCTTTAATGTGCTATATACTTTATCACTTTGTGTGCCTTATGATTTTGCTTTAAAAAGCAAACATTCGAATTCAGTAATGTAGCTTTGGAAGTCAGTTCTCGCCCTTCACCAGCATTCACTGTTTCTGTTACTTTAAAAAGAAATTGTCTCTGTGCCAAAGATCTCCCTGAGGTGTGAACGTCGGGTCTTCTTGGGTCTTTCCCTGGGTGCGTGCAGCCACTGTCTAATTTTCCTCTTACGTGCTGCTGTTTTTCAATGTCCTCTTTTTTAGTGTTTGTGTCCCAAAGGAGGAATAAGAGAAAAATGAGGGAGAAAAAACAGTGCCAGCCCTCCAAATCCCCTTGAAGTCACTTCAGCTGGATGGGGAAGCTTTCAACCACAGAGGGGATGTAAAGTGATGGCCCCAGCTTTCTGTCTGAACCTCCCTGATCCCACGCAACCTGATGAGACCACAGGTTCTCGACATCTGCAGGGCAGGGCCCTTTTTGCTGTCCTGTTTCCCACAGCTGTGTGGGTGCTGCTCCTGAACACATGCATGGCACCTGCTGTGGGAATGGGGGTGGGGGTGAATGTGCAGCTGCCACTGTGCTAAGAGCTGGGTGCAGTGAAATTAACCACCCGTCATTGTCCAAGCCTTCCTTTGGACGTTGCAAACTTTCAGTAGACTCTAGAGTTGCGAAAGAGTTCTGAGACAGATTCTGCCCCTGCACTTGTTAATTGGTTGGGGAGATGGATTCCTGGCGCTTTCCATCTGCCATTTCCCAGAATACTCCAGAGTCATTTTCAAACACGTTTCTTTCCGTCAAGAAATCAAGTCTTGGCTGGGTGCGGTGGCTGATGCCTGTAATCCCAGCACTTTGGGAAGCCAAGGAGGGGCAGATCACCTGAGGTCAGGAGTTCAAAACCAGCCTGACCAACATGGAGAAACACCATCTCTACTAAAAAGACAAAATTAGCCAGGCATGGTTGCACATGCCTGTAATCCCAGCTACCCAGAAGGCTGAGGCAGGAGAATCACTTGAACCTGGGAGGTGGAGGTTGTAGTGAGCCGAGATTGCGCCATTTTATTCCAGCTTGGGCAACAAGAGCGAAAGTCTGTCTCAAAAAGAAAGAAAAAGAAATCAAGTCTTGAGCAGCATCGTTGTTGTATCATGTGCAGGTGTCCAGCCTGTATGCCAGCCAGCTAGGTCAAGTGCAGGGGAAACTCCCTATGGGCACCTTGGCTGTGTCCAGAGCTTAGAGACTGGAGCTCTGAGAGAACTGGGCTGGAGCCCAGCCCCGATGGAGCCTCTAGCTCTCAGGAAGAGACACACCTCTGGGAGTGGTGTGACCACGTTTCCAGGTTACTCAGCCCTGGGGATTGAGGTAGTGGCCTGGCACTGGGGCAGGGGCGGATCCCACAGTCCCTCAGTGGAAGCCCCAAGCCCCCCGTTTTCCTCTCTCCCTCTTCCCGGGTTGGGATTTGGGAGATGAGATCTTCCTGGTGGCTGGAATCTGTCCCAGAAGTCAGCAGCTCACCATGGGGCCCCAAGGCTCCCTAAGATAAGGCAGACCCTTGGTAAGACCCCAGCTGCACATGAGGGGGCGGAACGCAGCTCCCGAGCCCCACGCTCCGTGGCACCTGCGTGGTCAGGTCGGGGCATGTGTATGTCCCTCCATGGGTTCGCACCAATTTGCATATAGGTATGTAGCTATCCATTCCAGCTGTAAGAAATTGCCGCAAATTCACTGGCTAGAACCACCACAGATGTCTTACCTTTCAGTTCTGCAGGCCAGAAGTCTAATACCAGTTCACTGGGCTGAAACCAGTGTTGTCAGGGCTGGGTCCCGGGGGGGGCTCTGAGGAGAAAACGTTTCTTGACTTTTCTAGCTTCCAGGAGCTGTGGGGGAGGGCAGGGGGCCAGGCAGCTTTGGATCTCATCCTCAGGAGCTTTTCAAAGGAGCAGCAGAGACTCCATGCCCTGTGCCCTGGGGGTCAGGCTGGGCTGGTTCTGGGGAGTGGCTGGAGCGCCTGGTGCTGAGTACAGGTGGGCGTCCACGGGGTGCATGTGTCGGTGGGTCTCTGAGGGTCTGCCCTTTGCTTTGAGGCCACGGCGGCTGTCAGGGATGTGGGACATTGTGTGTGACCCTTGAGGACTGGCCTGGCTGGAGCCCACTGCCCTGTGGGAGGGTGAACATTGCTCTGGGTGGATCCAGGACTGGCCTGGCTGGAGCCCACTGCCCCGTGGGTGAGCACTGCTCTGGGTGGAGTGCCCACTTTGGGGAGAGGGAGGGTCTTGTCCCTGGAGGTGTTCAGACAGAGCCAGGGACAGGATTCACAGGAGGCCCCCCAGCCAGGCCGTGCAGGGTGAGGCTAGGGGTGATGGTCCTGGGAAGTCTGGCTTATGGAAGAGGGGCTTTGTCTCGGGAGCTGCTGCGGAAGGAATGGACCTCCTGTCCCACTAAGATAAGGGACCCAAGGGAGGGGCAGGGTCAGTGGGCACTGGTACGGGAACAGCGGAGGGTGTCTACCAGAGGCCCTGCCCCTCGCCTGTGGGGAGGATGCCGGCTTCCCTGATGGTCCTGGTGTTTAAAGGGGCCTCTGTCAACACACACAGGTCTCCAGAACCATCCACATTTCTGGCTGGCCTGATTCCTATGTGGGAAACAGTCTTGAACAAGGCAAGCGCCTTGATCCCAGCAGGAGGGGCCGCCCCACCACACCCCACTCCGGAAGGCTGAGCTCTCAAAGCCAGGCTCTGGCACTCGCTGTTTGGATTCCGGAGCATCTGAGACAGCTGGGCCCGCGCCTTGGAGAGTGGAGGCTGCGCCATTCTCTGCCCATCCAGCATCTTAGGGCTGGGCATTGGGAAGCTGACTTCTGAAGGGAGCCACCAGGAGTGTCATGGAGAGGAGACGGGACAACTTGGGAAGGGCTCGCCTGTCCTGGGGTCCCTGGGGCCGCTGGCATAGCGTGCTGGTGGCTTCCAGCCCAGGAAGGTGGCAATAGCCGCATCCTGCTGTCCCAACTGATGTTGGAATGTTCTAGGAAGGGTGGCAGGGAAGTTTCTCGAAGGTGAACTCAGGGGCATCTGGGCGACAGAGTCTTGTTTCCTGGTGTTAGCGCTACCTTGGCACGGACATGTGGGGCCTGGGCACTTCTGATAAGAAAGGATCATTGTAACAGCTGCCGGGTCTGAGGGGGACGTGACCGCTGGCTCCTAGAGTCCAGACTCCCTGTCGGGACCCCTCTGCCGCTAGCCTCGGGGCGCAGGCCAGGCTGCTGTCCACAGAGACCATTGTCCATTCTGCACCCAGCCCTGCTTCCTGTCGGCATGAGGGTGGGGCCCACAGGGAGTCCAGGCCGCCACACTGCCTCGTGCTGGAGTCAGGGCCACGTGGGGCAGTGATGGCTGCTGGAGGTGCCCGCGGGCGGGTGTCTGCTCTCTTGTTTCCTTTATGTTCTGTGTTCTGTGAGCTCTTCGGAGGCACTGCTTCCCTCGTGAAGTCCAGGCTCAGCACTTCTCCCGTCTCTGGCCCCAGGTCAGCCTGGCTGTGGCAGGTACATGCATGCACACGTATGTGCGCTCACCCCCGCCTGCCTCAGGACACCCAGGCGTCAGCAGCCCCTTCCCACAGGAGCGCTCAGAAGGAGCCAGCCTGCCGCACAAGTGTCCCGGGGTGCCCGTCACACTCTGGTGAAAGCAGACCTTGTCCAGCCTCTCTGGTGTCTTGGGAGGAGGCCTTGGGGCAGGGCCCTGGCCCAGACTGTGGCTGCGAAGCCTGGGCTCTGCCTGGCACAGTGGGTGTGCTGAGAAGTGACTGCCGAGCGGGGCCTGTCCTTGAGTGGGTGCCGACTCCCTCCATGGGCAGGAAACGAGGTGTGAGAATGCCGGGCACCACGGCTGCGTCTCTGGCGTGGGCTCCCTGGAGAGGAATGGACAGGGCTGGTTCTGACTCTGGGCTACTGAGTTGAAGTGAGGTTGCTCTCAGCCTGGGCAGGAAATAGTGGAGTGAGTCGCCGCGCCCATAGCAGTGAGGCTGGTGGGGAGACTGTGGTGCTGGCAGGTGCGCCAGGTGGGCTGCCCCTCCCAGGTGTGATGGTGGCCCTGAGGGAAAGCAGCACGGGGGTGGGAGCCACGGCTTGTCTGTGCCACAAGATGCGTGGCCCAGTGGGTGAGTCCCCGACAGCGCTGGGTGAACCCCATCCGATGTCTCAGAAGCCACGCAGACCCACAGCCAAGGCGGCCTCTCCGGGCCAGGCCCCACCTGCAGGCTCTGTGCTCCCATGGCTTTGTCCGCCGTGCTCCCGCCATAGCCGAGCCTTGGAAGAGCATTGGGGTGTGGAGCCAGCCTCCTTCCTTCCCTGCAGTGGAGCTGAGGCTCTATGGTGGCGGCCAGGCTGGGGTGCTGGCCGGGGCTGCTCTGGCAGTCTCAGAGTGGGCGGGCAGGGCACAGGGCCGGGAAGGGGGCTGCCAGCGGGCCACCTGGCTACTGTTGGCATCCGGCCCAAAGACGTAGGCCAACCCCTCGCAGCTCCTTGCTCCAGCAGGGGTGCCAGCCAGTCCCTGGCACCTTCTCCCCCGTGGCTGCGTCCATCCCTGGGTTCCCTGCTTTGGGCCATGAGCTCAAAGCAGGGAAGGGGCCCTGTGGATACCATGGCCCCTGAAGATAGGTTTCTGCACGGAGCGTGCCCGTCGTTTGGGTATGAGTAAACCAGGGTGGCCGTTGAGTGGCCGGTGGGTGGCTGAGCCCAGGGGATCAGGGCAGGCTGCCAGGCGTGTAGAGAGCCCTCCCAGACTCAGTTTCCCCTTTATGCCCCTGCTGGCTGCCTCTCCAGGCTGCCTGGGTGGCCCCCAGTTCAATTCCACGTGGCCACCTCACCGGGTGTCCTCCTTTTTGCAGAGAGCGTTGGCGAGGAGGTGGGGCTGCTGCAGCTCCTCGGGGACCCCCTGCCCCAGCAAGTCACCCAAACAGAAGACCCTGATGTCGGGCTGGCCTACGTCTTCGGGCCAGATGCCAACAGCGGCCAGGTGGCCCGGTACCACTTCCCCAGCCTCTTCTTCCACGACTTCTCACTGCTGTTCCACATTCGGCCAGCCACGGAGGGCCCAGGGGTGCTGTTTGCCATCACGGACTCAGCACAGGCAGTGGTCTTGCTGGGCGTGAAGCTCTCTGGGGTGCGAGACGGCCATCAGGACATCTCCCTGCTCTACACGGAGCCGGGCGCAAGCCAGACCCACACAGCCGCCAGCTTCCGCCTCCCCACCTTCGTTGGCCAGTGGACGCAGTTAGCACTCAGCGTGGCTGGTGGCTCTGTGACCCTCTACGTGGACTGTGAGGAGTTCCAGAGAATGCCGCTCACTCGGTCCTCACGGGGCCTGGAGCTGGAGCGCGGCGCCGGGCTCTTTGTGGCTCAGGCAGGAGGAGCGGACCCTGACAAGTTCCAGGTAACCCTCACTGTGCCGTCGCTGGGGGACTGGAGCAGCTGGGTTGGGGTGAGGTGGGGGTGGCCACTGGGACAGGGACGGAGCTGCAGCCAGAAGAGGAGAGCCCCCACTCAGCTGCGGTCAGCCCTGGCCTCCAGCCTGGGCCTCTGGGTTCTTGGCCGGCCTGGCTGGGGTGGCATTCATGTTCTTGATTCTCTGGCTCCTGGGCCCCCTGGAAGGGTCACCCTGGGCTTCTGTGGTTTCTCCGAGACCCCGAGGCCCAGCCCAGGTGGGACCCTTTGGATGACCTTGTAACTAGACATCCACCCCAGCTGTGACCTGGAGATCCCCCCATGCCTGTGCCAAGCAAGCCCCGTGGTGAACTGGGGCTCCTGGTCTCTGACTGGCCGGTTGGGGAGTAGGGACCAGGCCCAGCCCCACACCTCATGGCCCCGAGGAGAATGAAAGCCGAGGCTCTTGTTAAAAACAATGAATGATCCAGAGCTGGCAGCAGAGGGTCTTGACCTCAGCAGGGTCCCTGTGGTGGACGGACACCTGCCGGGAGCAGGTGCTCAGTGTGGCCCTGCAGCTCGGTGCCTTCACAGGGTGCACAGCCCCAGGCCGCTGATACTCCACGTGTGGGTGGGATGTCCCCAGCGGTGACGGCACATGGCCGTCTCCACCCGAGTCTCCCTGGGAAGTCCCTCCAATGGGCCTTCATTTCTTGGGGCCAAGGGGGTGGACAGAGCCCTAAACCAAGGTGGGGTCTGGGTCCAAAGCCCCCGCATTTCTGGGAACCTTTGGCTGGGAACAGCCACGTGGGTGGCCTCAGCTGAGGCCATCTCACAGTCCCCGAATTCTAACATTCAAGCTGGCCTGCAGCTGCGACGCCCCTACCCTCGTGGTCCACAGAGACAGAAGGTTAATTATTGCCCAGACAAGGGCTGTTTGTTTGAAGTTGTTCTAAGTCCTGGCATCTGGGGGTTCTGACAGCTGACCTTGCACCTTTGTCAGGAACTTTTAACCCCGATTGCACAGGAGCCGCTAGGATGTTGACACCAAACTGGGCTTCTTTGTTTTCCCTCGATCACAAGCATGATTACTGGGAAAGAGGTCAGAGTCCCCTCCTTGTGAGAGGCCATGTGTTGTGTGAATCCCCTGGCGTTTCTTGCTTGGTGGAATAAAGTCACCCGCGTGCTGCTGGCCTGGGTGGGGTGCTGAGGGCGGCGTGCGGCTGGCCTGGGTGGTGTGCTGAAGGCTGTGTGGGTTGATCTATGTATCAGGTCCCTGCAGGCCTCAGGTATCAGGAGCTTTCTCTTTGGGTCTTAGGTGAGATTCTAGCTGGGGAGGGGAGGAGCATGCGTGTGTGGAGAAGAAGAATTGTTTAGCACAAGACTTTCTCAGACTTCTGAATTGTGGTTCTTGGGAAAGAAACATTCAAGTTGTGTGACTCACACATTTTGGCAGAAATAAGCACAGAGCTTTGGGTGTGGGGAGGAAACCGACAATTCCTCCTTGTCAGCCTCTCCACGAGCCGCACCACCCCCGATGCTGCCATGGAGGGTGCCTCGGACGCCCGACCTCGGCTGGGTCCGACAAGCCCTCTGTGGCTTTTATTGTGTCTCGTCGTGAGCGTCCTTGGCTGTCATTAGCCGTTTTGGTTTTCCTTCTGTCAGCGGCTTCTCCTGGGACCTCACGCCCCTCCAGCTGCCACTGCTTCCTGATTTCCAGGGCTCCGAGGCCGCAGTGTGATGGGAAGCATTTTCCTGCTCTTCCCTGACATGATGCCCATGATCCCTCCATGTGTGATCTCCGGATTTCATAACTTTCAGTCCCAAGTCCCTCAAATATTTGCAACGGGCCTGTGGCTTTTGCACTAGTGTGCCTGCCCCAGCCCTGGAGCCCCTGGGCACTCACAGGCTCAGCGCACCTCTGCCCTCTGCAGCCACCGCCCACCTGAGTACCCTGCAGCCCTGTGCAGAAGGCGCTGGTGACCTCGGGCTCTCTCAGGACTAGAGTGCTCTGGCGAAAGAGCATGGTGGCCGCCAGTCGGGCGTTCAGGGCCTCGAGGGCCTCTCCGGATAGTGTGTGTCTGTGTGGGGATCGATGTCAGGAATGCCCAGGCCTTCCCCTGCACCAAGACCACCCAAGATGTACCCCAGCCCAGGCTACCCAGTGGAGAAGTGCAATGTTCTAGAATATTCAGCACCCCTCCCTGCAGTGTGAAGCTGAGAATCACTGGTAGTTTCTGAGGGAAACCTGTGCTCACCCAGGAGTCCAGGGGTTCCACCCCCTACGCATGAGTGCACACGCATGTGCATACATGATTTCATGCTTGCATGTGTGCATGCACTCATGCACGTGTGCACACACATTCAGGCCCCACGCCTGACCCACACCCAAGCCACCTCAATGACCAGACCCCATAGGCCCATGCAGGGCTGCTGCACCTCTGTCCCGAGGTTGTCCCTTCCCGGCTCTGCCCCTCCCTGGGTTCCCCCACAACCTCGGCCTGGGAAGCTGGGCTGAGAGTGGCCGGGCCTCGCTCTGACCCGGGCTGTTCCAAGGCCGCCCGGATCTCCCACTTGCTGAGGACTCTGCAGGGCAGTGAAGACAGCGGCAGAGCCTGCACGGGCTGGGCTGACAGCAGGGAGGCCTGAAGGGGTGGCTGAGGCCACCACAGGGCCCTATGCAGACACCTCCCGGATGCTGTCTGCGCTGGTCTGGTTGAAATGGGGGCTGATGGCACCCATTGGTGGGCACCCTCGGCATATCCGAGCACTGAGAACGCCCTGAGGAGACACGTCCCAGTGACTTCCTGGCTGCCCCCCATCCCCCCGTCGCGGCCTCCTTCCTGAGGTGCAGTTGCTCACAGCCTGGGCTCATTCCACGTCAGCGCTGGCTGCACTCTCCCCGGACGCCCCGTGGGCTGGCTACCGTCTGAAGCTTCCTTGGGCACCTCCGGGTCTGTGCTGGTCCCACCCAGCTGCACCAAAACTGTCCGGAGCTTCCGATCATCCTGGGCAGACTGGGAGCGAGTGTGGCCAGGGAGGCGCTCCACGGCCACAGTGGACACAGGATGCCCTGGGGGACTGTGGAGAGGGGCCCCGGAGCTCAGCCTGCAGAGCTGAGGCTGGATCTTCCTGCCACCGAACCTCCAGCCTTTCACCTTCTGCATCCCAGTGGCTGCTGCTTCCGCCACCTTCGGGCACCAACCCAGTGATGAGGAGCAGGGCGTCCCTCAGTGTCGGCCTGTGATGGCCCCAGCACTCGTCTCATGCCGTGAGCTCAGCCCCTAGTCGGGGAGCAGGGCGTCCCTCAGTGTCACTGTGCCTGTGATGGCCCCAGCATGCCCCATGCCGTGAGCTCTCCATGTTTGTCGGCAAGAGGAGGAGACCCTGGCAAGTTGGGAATCGGCCTGAAATTGTTGTGAAAATTACAGAACTGTGGCATGTGTGGCCCTGTCTCCCCCACACCAGGTCCCCAGTCGCCTGCCAGAGCACACCTAGGTATATGTTCCAGCACACTCACTCGCACAGACACGCACACACGCTCGTACAGGCACGTGCACACACATGTACCGGCACACACACACACACAGGCACGCACACAGATGCTTGTACGGGCATGCACACACATGCTCGTACAGGCATGCACACACATGCTCGTACGGGCATGCAAACACACCCACAGACACACCTACAGGCATACACACACGCACAGGCACACACATATGCATCGGCACGCACACACACACAGGCATGCACACGCACAGGCACACACACGCAGGCACGCACACAGGCACGTACGCACACACACAGGCACACACACACACAGGCACGCACACACACACAGGCACACACATGAACTGGCACGCATGCACACACACAGGCATGCACAGGCACACCCACCCACAGGCATGCACACACACAGGCAGGCACACATACACATTTGCACAGGCACACACATGCACAGGCACACACACACGAGCACAGGCACGCACAGGCACACACACACAGGCACGCACACACAGGCACACCCACCCACAGGCATGCACACACAGGCAGGCACACACACACTTGCACAGCCACACACACACAGGAATGCACACACACACAGGCACGCACACACACAGGCACGCAAACACACAGAGGCATGCACACGCGCACAGGCAGGCACACACACTTTCACAGGCACACACACGAGCACAGGCACGCACACACATGCACAGGCACGCACACACAGGCATGCACACACGCGCACAGGCATGCACACACAGGCAGGCACACACACTTGCACAGGCACACACGTGCGCAGGCATGCACACACATACAGGCACGCGCACACATGCTTGCACAGGCACGCACACATGCACACAGACCTCGCTGTCAGCATAGGGGAGGCGGGCGTGGAGGCAGCACCTGGAGCTGGGGTGGAACGGATCCCAGGAGGCCCTAGCTCTCCCGAGGAGGGGCCTGAGCGGTGCCCTGAGTGAGGAGCTGGGGCACACGGGGCGTCTGGTGTTGCAAGCTCCCAGCACATGGCTCCAGTGGCCCAGGGAGCAAAGGCAGCATTGCGGCACAGCCTCGGAGCCTGCCGGCCCACAGCTGGAATGGCGCCTATGCTTCTGGAAGGCTGGAAAGCATGAAAAGAGACTTCGTGACACGTATAAATCATATAAAATTCCGGTTTTGGGGTCCAAGGATACACTTTCGTTGGAGCGGCCACGCCTGGTCTTTTCCTTGTTGTCCGTGGCTGATTTCACAGGAGAGCGGCCACAGATTTCAGGAGATGGGAAGCCTTCAAAACGGAAACCACGTCCTGGCCTTTCCAGAAAAGCTGTGCTGACCCCTGACCCAGAGCCTCCCACTACGAGAGCTATGATGATGTGTCTCCTAGCGTGGATGAAATACGGTCTCGAAAAAGTACACAAAAATGATTAAAATGTTAAATAAAAAATGAAGAAAATACTAGAAACCCATGTGGACAAGCCTGTCATTTCCCCATGGGGAAAGACTTTTACAAAGTGTCCGTCGGACCACGGGCACACGGCAGAGACTGGGTGCCAAAGGCGGCAGCCCGTCCCAGGTTTTGGGGCCCAGCCAGCGTGGGAAGCCCCAGGCTCCAGTGGGCCTTGCAGGCTTGGCTCTGAAATCTGGGCTGGGATTCAGAAGCTACAGTGTGGGCGGAGGCCTTGGTCACGTGCGTGGCCCCCACGTGGCAGCCCCTCTTCCTGCCGGAGCTACTCCCTGCATCCTCTCCCTCGGCAGGTGGCTCACATGAGATCCAGGACGTTGTGTGCTCCCGTGCCCCTGCCCAGTGTCCCCATCCCGTGTCTCATGGGATCCCGGGAAGTGCCCTATACCCCTGGCCGTGCCGGGACCAGACAGGGCAGGGGCGGGCACCCTGGTGCTCAGCCCCGGACTGGGAATGCTGGAGGGAGCCGTGTGCGAGTGGGTGGGTGAGATTGGCTCTGGACGAATGGGCGCGAGACCCAGGAAACTGCTCCCAACGTCTGCGGCGCTTTTGTCCCAGGCGGAATTCCAGGTTTGGTTTTTTATGAAAAGGTGAAGTTCAAAGAAAGCAAAGCCGCGGCGCTGCCTTGGTTGTCGAGTCGGGGAAGGAGGCCACCTGGAGTGTGTGTACAGCTCCCCGGACTTGACCTGCCACCCCTGGAACCCGCCCCTCTCCCAGGCCTTGGACTGAGCCACGCCTGCTGTGGTTCTAAGCCTGTAGCACTCAGTGGCCCATTGGCCGCCTCGAATGCACCGAGTCTGAGGCAGCAGCCTCCGCCCAGCCGGGTGCCTTCCACACAAAAGCGCCCAGTACGTCTTCCCGCCATGAGGGGCACTGCACCCCCAGGGAGGCTGCCCTAGACCCCTGCCCTGTCCGAGACTCCCCTGCTCTCTGCACCTGCTGAAATCTAGAGCTTAGGCAGCGCTGGGTTTGCTGTGGCTATCTCAGGACCGCTGCTGACCCCTTTCCCTCTCTGCCTTTAGGGGATGATTGCCGAGCTGAAGGTGCATGGGGACCCCCAGGTACACTGCCTGGATGAGGAGGACGATGACTCGGATGGGGTGAGTGACTGCCAGGACCCGGGCAGGGGGCTCCCTCCACCCCTGGGACGCAGGGTTTAAGGCCAAGGGCTGTGTGTGTGTGTGTGTGTGTGTGTGTGTGTGAGTGGTGTCCCTGTCTTGTGTGTTGTGTCCGCATGTCTGCATGGTGTGTGTCTCTGTATTTGTGTGTGGTGTGTGTGTTGGTGGAGTATGCAGCATCACATGGTACCTAAGTGGAGACTCCGCTAGTCCCAGAAGGTGTGAGGAACTGCAGGGAATTCTGATTCAGGGCCCAGGTCGCCACGTGTCTGCATGGGCGTGGACCCACAGCCTCCCTCCTGGGCGGCGTGGGCAGGACACAGCATGGCTGGGCTGTGGGTAGCGTGCATATATCTGTGTTACTTTCATGTTTTTTTCTATGTTTTGCCCGACAATTCTGTTGTTTTTACCTGGAACATGCCAGAAGATGCCGGCTTGCTTACATAGCTGCTGTGACAAGGCGGCTCCCTGGTGTGGCGTGCCGGTTGCTGGGGGTCGCTGAGGTGTTGGCTGCGTCACCCCTCCCGTGGCTTACCTTGCCCTTGCAGGTCGTTAGCGGGCCCTGAGGATGTTTCTTCTCCGGGTTTTCATGAAGTTTGAAGCATCTGGCTGGCTTGGCGTGCGTTTGGCCCAGGCCTGGCCCAGTGGGGCCTCCGCCAGGGAACCCTGTGGGGCGCGTCTGTGGCACGGCTTCCTCCAGGGCAGGGCTCCGGTCGGAGGAGAGGAGCGCGTCCCCCGCCTCTGTGTGTCTGACCGGCAGCCAAGGCACTTTTGGAAGCGTCACTGTCCTCGACCTGATTGGACGTCACTCACTGAAGCCCAGATGGTGCCCGGGCAGGGAGGGCAAGCATGCCCACCCTAGCGGCCCCTCCATGAGCGCCAGGAGGGCTGGACAGGGCAGGGGCGAGGTGGGCAGAGGCAAGAGAAGCCTCCTTTGCTTCCCAGGCCTGCTGGGGTCGGGGCCTGGCCACCATGTCCACTCCTTTCCTTTTCAAACCCCTCAGGCATCTGGAGACTTCGGCAGCGGGCTTGGGGACGCCCGGCAGCCTCTCAGGGTGGAGACGGTGAGTAGCCGGCGAGGCCAGCCCACCCTGCAGGGTCCCAGAGGCCCCTCCCAGCAGCGGGGTGCGCACGTGTGCACAGGCCTGGAGGCTCCAAGAGCTCACTCGACGCCGTGAAGGCGAATTCCCGGCTGGTGACGCGCTGGCTGGGCACACACTCCGAGCCTGGGGCAGGCCCCGCCCCTGCCCGCCTGGCTGTTGCATGTCTCTGGCGAGAGGGCGTTCCTTTAGAACGAGGTTCTGACCCTGCACGTTCCTCGGCCTTGAGGCAGCCTTGGCCTTCCGCTCCCCCGTCCCTCCATGAGCTTGTGGTGGCCGCCGTGGGGTGGACGGGTGTGAGCGTGGTGGTCATCCAGGCGGCCACCTTCGCAACTTTCCCCAGCCCGGCACCTGAGTAAACACGCAGCAGGGCGGGGCGGGGAGGCCCAGCACCGTGACTGTGCCCTGCCTGGCGCTTTTGGCTGGAGAGGGGCATGGGAATGTGGTCCCCATGGGGACCCTCAGCGGGGACACATCAGCTTCGTGGCATGGCCTGTCAGGCGCCGGGGGCCTTCTGCGGTGATGGCGGACTCAGCCCGCCCGCCACAGCAGGCGCAGCCTGGGACCCTGGGAAGCCGGGAACCCACGGGCGGCCGCAGCCTGGAGCTTCCCAGACCTCCCTGTTTCAGAGGATTTTCATCTTTCTTGCGATCTTAAGTATTCGTTGCAAGTCTCCACTGGGCATCTGCAGCTGAATAACAGGCCACCTCCCCTCTCATCTGCCAGGGCACAGCCCTGAAACCCAGGCTCCCCACACCACCCCCGGTCACCGCTCCACCCCTGGCTGGAGGCAGCAACATGGAAGATTCCAGAACTGAAGAAAACGAGGAAGAGACCACGGTGCCTTCATTAGAAGGTAAACTCTTTTCTTGATGTGGTGTGAATGTGTGTACTATGGGGGGTGTGGTGCATGTATGAGCGTGGTAACGTGTTTGTGTGATGGCTTGTGAGGTATGTGTGTGATATATGGTGTGTATTGTGTTGTGTATGGCTCGTGTGTGTAGTGTGGCACATGTATGTGTGGTGTGGTGTGTGATGTGCATGCTTGTGTGATGTGTGATGTCTGTGATGTATTGTGTGTGTGGTATTTGTGGTGTGCAGGATGTGTGGTGTGCTTGTGTGTGGCATACCTGTGTGAGGTATGTGGCGTGTCTGTGGTATGTGGTGCGTTTCTGGGTGGTGTGTGACGTGCATGTCTGGTGTGTGGTGTGTGACGTGCATGTCTGTGTGGTGTGGCGTGTTTGTGTAGTGTGAGGTGTGCGTGTCTGTGGTGCAAGGGCTGTTCAAAACAGGCAGAGGGCTGACTAGGCGCCAACCAGACCCACGGGCAGTGGTTTGCTGAAGGAGGAAAAGTGAAATGCATTGTGATCCTGGGTGCTCCCACACCCCCATCCCCAGAGAAGCCACCTGGGACTTCCTGGGCCAGTGGCGGGGGGCGGAACATGGGCTGAGTGTTAGATCCTCACGTGGGACCAGCCGTCACTTTCCCCATCATGGCCCTGGGTTTGTAGGAGTCTGTTGTCACTCTTAGGAGATATCGCAGGATTCAGGAGAGGAAGGATCGTGATAAACACTACAAACTCTGAAATGTGTCTATCTGCTAAAGAAGAAATGATGAAGAGGGGTGTGTGTGTGTGTGTGTGTGTGTGTGGTGTATGCATAGTGTGATGTATGTAGAGTTTGTGGTGTGTATAGTGTGTGTGTGTAGTGTGTATCGTGTAGTGTACGTGTGTGGCATGCAGTGCATGTTGTGTTGTATGTGTGGTACGTATTGTGTATGTGTATTGTATGTATTGTATGCGTACAGTACGTGTGATATGCATGTGTAATGTGTGTGTGTACAGTGTGTGATGCATGTGTATTGTGTAGTGTGTATGTGTGTGATGTGTGTGTGTATGCATAGAGTGTGTGGTGTGATGTGTGTAATGTGTGTGTGATGTGTGTATGTGTAGTGTGTGTGGTGTGATGTGTGTATATTATGCGTAGTGTGAGGGTGTGTGGTGTGATGTGTGTAATGTGTGTGTTATGCATAGTGTGAGAGTGTGTGTGGTGTGATGTGTGTAATGTGTATGTGTGTGATGTGTGTGTATGTGTAGTGTGTGTGTGGTGTGATGTGTGTAATGTGTATGTGTGTGGTGTGATGTGTGTATATTTTGCATAGTGTGAGAGTGTGCGTGTGGTGTGATGTGTGTAATGTGTATATGTGTGATGTGTGTGTATGTTGATGTGTAGTGTGTGTGGTGTGACGTGTGTAATGTGTATGTGTGTGGTGTGTGTGTATTATGCGTAGTGTGAGAGCGTGTGTGTGGTGTGTGTGTATATTACATGTAGTGTGAGAGTGTGTGCATGCACGCATGCGCGTGTGTGTGTGAGGCAGGTGGGGAGACGCTGAGGCCCCGATGGTGGTTCTGGGTACAGGTGCTGGGTGTTCGCTGTACTTCTCTTGCAGGATTTCTGTGGGTTTTCATTTTTATTTTAATTACGAGTTATGAGGGGAAGAAGGAGAAGGGAAATGCATGTTGGTGGCAAGGAATTTGGGGGGCTGGGTCTCCTGTAACATATTCAGGAAGCATCTCCCAGGCTTCAGCTGTCGTCGGCTTAGGTGGCCACACCGGCCTCACTGCTGATTTTAAATTCTCTCTCCCTGTTGCCGGTGCCTGGGAGCCAGAACTTTGGGGAGTGCAGCTTCAGGCTGGGGATCTGACCGGGGGCACCCAGGGGGGCCGAGAGCAGAGCTGGGGGCGCCCGGGGGGCCTGACTATGGTCAACTCTGCTTCTCTTTCCAGCTCAGACGCTTCCTGGCTCAGATTCTGTCTCCACGTGGGATGGGAGTGTGCGGACCCCAGGCGGCCGCGTGAAGGAGGTAAGGCCACTCTTGGCGCCCTTGAGCCGCCCTGAACCAGAGTTCCTGTGGCATTTTGGGCCACTCGCTGCTGAGCCTGATGGAGCCCTTCTGTGCCCAGCACACGGTGCCAGCATGCGTCCACCTGGCATGTCCACCAGGGGAAGCAGAGCCCAGCCCGGGACTCTGGAGGGCACGGCGGGGCATGCCAGCAGTGTGTGAGCCCCACCGTAGCCCCAGCCCTTGTGTTCTTTTTATTCCCAGGGCGGCCTGAAGGGGCAGAAGGGGGAGCCAGGTGTTCCGGGCCTGCCTGGCCGGGCAGGCCCCCCAGGCTCCCCATGCATCCCCGGTCCTCCCGGTCCCCCATGCCCGGTCAGTCCCCAGGGGCCTGCAGGCCCAGCATTGCAAACTGTCCCCGGACCACAAGGACCCCCGGGGCTGCCGGGCAAGGATGGCATTCCGGGAAGGGACGGCGAGCCGGTGAGTCCTCACAACCCCCAGTCTGGCCCATCTGGAGGTGGGGCTTGGGCAGGAGCGGGAGAGGCTGTAGCTGGCATGGGAGTGGGATGGGCTGGGATCAGGGCAGGGCAGCAGCGTCGCTGGGACCCTGGAGACCCTGGGACCCTGCTCGGGGTTGGTGCTGGGAGGTTGTCGGGCGGGGGAGGTGGAGCTGCTCAGACACAGCCCTTGTGGGTGTGAGGAGGCTCCTGGCGCAGGGCGGGGGCATCGGGGGAAGGTGTCTTTGCCACCTCGTGGGGACTTCGAGCGTGGGGTGCATTTCCACGTGCAGATTCTGGGTGGGCAGGAGGTGTCATTTACCGTCGCTAATGGCTTCTCTTGCACACTCAGGGTGACCCCGGTGAGGATGGGAAGCCGGTGAGTCTGCCTGTCCTCCTGACCCCGTGTGATCTGTGATGTTTGCTTAGACCTTGGGGCTTTGCCACCGATGACACTCTTTAAACGTGACCCAGTGAGGAGACTGTGCAGCAAAACCATTTTGAAAATGAAACTTTAAAGAAAAGATGAGTCTATTGACAGGAAACAGGCAGTTATGCGTTTGTGTTGAGATGTTTAGGCCACAACTACCAGGAAGAAGGAGGGGAGTAAGAAAAGGCAGAGCTTCCACACCCTCAGAGGGAATGCACAGCAAGGAAGCAGGAAGTGGGGGTGAGGCGGGGACAAGAGAGGAGAGACCCGGAGCGGCCGGGGGCAGAGTCAGAGCTTCCATCTCAGAACACTCATTCGGATTTTAAAAATCGGCAGCACTGTTTCCAAGAAGCACAGTGAGCTAACCAGCGAAGAAAAACCTGGGAACAGCCGCGGCAGGAAGTGGGGCGGTTGCTAACGTCCGACGGGAGGGTTCACGTGAAAAACGGTCTCGAGGGTGTGAAGGGGCGGGGGCGTCGCCTGCTGCCACCGAATGGTCATTCCCGACCCCGCAGCGACGAGGGCCACGGCAGATGAGCAGGGCAGTCGGCTGGGGGCACCCAGGCGGTGCGCGCGTGTGTGTGAGTGTGTGGAGCAGGAGCCACGTGGTTCAGCAGCAGGCTCACTCTCAAACCTCCCATCCGCACAGTGAGCCCGGCCCGCCTTTGTCACGCTCACTGGACGCTTTGAAACACTGACCTTCACTTAGGTACAGGGCCCTCACCTGCTGACCCATGTAGCAGACACGCAGGTGCTCGGTCCAGAACGCCCTCACCACACCACATGTAGACACATGCACACACACACACCACACATACACCACAGACTACACACATGCACACACACCATACAGCACACTACACACATGCACACAGCCTGAATTACACACATCACACATTCATACACCACATCCCTTGCACACCATGTATGCACACTCACACTACACACCACACACTACACACACCCTGCATTACACACATCAGATTAACACACCACACCCCTCACACACACACCATGTATGCACACACACCACACATACCACACACACACCAGACTACACACATGCACACACCATATACCACACACTACACGCATGCACACACCCTGTATTACACACACCATAATGCACACACACCATATCTCCACACACACAGCACACCCCTCACACACACAGCATGCATACCACACACACACACGTATGTAACAGTCTAAGCACCAGCCACTATGGAGGCCATCAGGGACTCATCATGTCCTCCGGCGGGGTGTTCCCTCGGCTCCCCCAGGTGGCTGGCAAGATGGGCTCAGGCGGGGGCTGCTCTACGGGCCTGGCACCCTCCTACCTTCCAGACCCTGGGGACGCCCCTGAAGAGCTCAGCTCCCATTGGTCCCTGCTTGGGGGATGAGCACAGAGGGTGCCATGCCATGGCCCATGGCGGTGCCTCCCCTGACGGGGCCCCTGGCTGCTGTCTTCCAGGGCGACACAGGGCCGCAGGGTTTCCCCGGGACCCCAGGAGACGTGGGCCCCAAGGGCGACAAGGTGAGTGTTCGAAGCTGGGTGGGGCCCCTTTCTGTGTTGGCCCTTGGCCTGAGGTGGGGGGGCTGCCCGTGCTCAGGGTGTGATGGGCTTGTCTTGTGTTCCCAGGGCGACCCCGGGGTTGGAGTGAGAGGGCCCCCAGGACCCCAAGGGCCTCCGGGGCCCCCAGGACCCTCCTTCAGACACGACAAGCTGGTGAGTCCCACCCCTGGCTTCGGCTGCGACCCGGGGTCTGCCCTTCTCAAAAGTGGGCACTGCCTCTGGGGGGCATTAGCTCCACCCTCAGGGGCTTACGTGGGGTCTCGGCCGAGCTGAGGGGTCACAGGTGTGGTGGGAGCCCTCGCCCACCTGCCTTCAGCTTCTCTGGGGGCAGCAGAGGGGCTGTGGTTTCTCAGTTCCTCGTAGAAATAGCTTGATAGGCAGTTTGTGGGTCCAGGAGTAGGCCAGGCAGGGGGTGGGCCGGGGGGAGAGGGCGGGAGCAGGCCTGGCGGTCGGGGAGGCGGGAGCCATGTGGGGGGCCAGACTCTGGGCACTACGTCTCCCTGCTCTTTTCTGCAGACGTTCATTGACATGGAGGGGTCTGGCTTTGGTGGTGATCTGGAGGCCCTGCGGGTGAGTGGTCCTTGGCCAGTGTCTGTGCCAGCAAGGAACAGGCTGCAGACCCCCAAGATTCAGCTGGGGTCCTATAGGGAGTCGGGACCAGGCCCAGTGTGGGGTTCGTGGTCATCCTGGTGGGTGCCACATGGGCCGTGACCATCTGTGTTTGCCTTGTCCAGGGTCCTCGAGGCTTCCCCGGCCCCCCCGGCCCCCCTGGTGTCCCAGGTCTGCCTGGTGAGCCCGGCCGCTTTGGGATGAACAGCTCCGACGTCCCAGGACCCGCAGGTCTTCCTGGTGTGCCTGGGCGGGAGGGTCCCCCCGGGATTCCTGGTCTCCCGGTAAGTCCTGCCCCCCCATCAGTGTCAGGGCCCCTGTCTGCTGGGAGTGGGGGCCCCTGCCCTACCACCAGGCACCCCAGTCCTCGCCCCCTCTCACCTTGTCTCCTCTGGGAGCTGGTGGGTGGCTGCTGACTGGGCCGCCCTGGGACATGCAGAGGCACCTGCGTGGTCACCCTGTGGTTCTGGAGGTGCTGACCAAGGGTGGCCACAAGCAAGGCTTCCCACCTCTCTGGCCCTGTGGGTCCACGGACCACACAGTGTCTCCATGAGTAATTCCCACAGGTGGGGGTGGGAGAGGCGCAGTCAGCACCCCTGGAGGCCCAGGGGCAGGAGGAGCCTGCTTGGCCAGCGTGGCTCATGGGGTCTCAGGGCCCTGTGGCAGGCTCCCCAGCAGCTCTGGGGCGTGTGACAAACAGCAGGTGCCCACAGAGGTGGCTGATTGGGTCACGCTGCACTGGTGTCCCATGGCCTGGGGTCACTCGGCAGCATGTCATAATGCATAGAACGGAGTGTGGAGTGAGGCCACCCGTGGCGTGTCCCTGCTCTGGGATGGTCCCCACCTGAGCCAGCCCACCTTGCTGATGGGCGTCGCCATCCGCATCGGCTCTGAGGCCTCCTGTGCCATCTGGTGCCACATGGCAGGTGCTCCCCAGGGTCAATTGTAAAGGGCAGTTTGGGCTTCAGGAACGTGCCTAATTCATATTCATACCTGCGGTCAGACGGCCTCTCGGAGGGGTAGCGATTACGCAGCCCGGTGTGTGATAGAGTGTCTCCCAGCGAGGGGCTGTCAGCCCTGCTCTCTCATCCTGCCAGCGTGGCCGTGCACTGCCGCCTGCACATGCACTGGGGTCTCCCATGAGCCCTGGGACCCTGGCCCTGTGTCTGGGAAACGTTCTGTGTCCCGGCTTCAGGAAACCTGTGGAAGCTCAGATAATCTGTCAACCCAGAAATCTTTTCAGTGGTTGAATGCCAGCAGGACACAGTCTGCTTTGTTCTCCCCCAGGGACCCCCAGGCCCTCCAGGAAGAGAGGGTCCCCCAGGAAGGACTGGGCCGAAAGGCAGTCTCGTAAGTCTCCCTCAAGTCTGGGGTGAATGGGGCCCAGTGCCATGCTGTGTGGCCGGGGTGGCTGTGCCGTGGGGGTCTGCAGGTGGACCTGGTGGGAAGTGCTTGCATTCGGCCTCCTGGGGCGTGGCCTCCAGCGTGACCTCGAGAGACAGCTTCGCTACTTTGGGCTGAGCAGGGGACGCTTACTGTAAATGCCCCTCGCTGCTCGGAGCCTGTGGCTGAGCCGAAGGGCCTCCAAGGGGGGAGGCATGCAGGCCCCCTGTGGGGCCAGGTCCAGCACTGGGATCGGGCTTGGCTTCCCTTCAGGACCCCAACCACAGAAGAAAGGGGGATGATGGCAGCAACAGCCTCGGAAACTGTTAAGCCGGCACAGGCTGGCGGCAAAGCAGGGAGCCGGGGTCAGAGCACAGTTCCCGGCAGGGCGATGTGCCCTCCTCTGCCCGCTGTGCTGCGAGTCTGATTTTGTTGTAATCCTGCTCTTTTCCACACAGGGTGAAGCAGGCGCCCCAGGACTTAAGGTACAACCACAACACCCGGCACACCCATCCCCAACCCCTGCAACCCTGGACCTGCCTGCTCAGTCACTGTGCCCCCAAAGAGGGTGGGGCCTCGCGGTAGAGGGAGTGAGCATTCCCGGGGTTGGCCTTGACCCCCACTCCTGCCGTCCATCCTGCTGGAGTCACTGGCATCGGCCTCTGTCACTCTTGGGAGGTGGCTTTCATCGAGCCATGGTCGGCTGGGGAAGTGCGGGCAGACATGGAAACAATCTCCTGGTGACCCATGCCAGATAAAGCAGCTCCCGGGAGCTTTAGGAGGAGGGGCTGGGCCACTGCAGGTGGAGAGGCTGTCTGCAGCCTCAGAGGGGCCCTAAGCTGGGGACCCAGCATCCTCCCATAGGGGAGTCCCCGCTCTGCCTGTCCTGCACTCTCATGAGCGTCTGGGGGTACTTGGAGGGAGCGCTGAGGGCAGCCGGGGTGTCTTTGGGGGCCCTGGCCTGGGCCAGACCCTCTGGACTCAGGGCTGCCGCTCACACATGGACCCAGCCTTCCTTCGGGCAGCCTGAGGTCTGGGCCATGGCCTGGTTGGACCAGACAGCTTATCTGACACCCCCACAACGACCCACTTCCTCCTCCTGTTCTTCGGGAGAGGAGCTGGAGGAGGAGCTGGAACCCTGCAGAGAAGGGGCTGGGAGCCGGGCCGGGGCCTCCAGTCAGGGTCCGTGCCGACCCCACCAGCACCCACGCCCCTGGAGATCCTGTCGAGGATCCAGGTCTCTGGAGGCCGCCCACTCAAATCACGTTCATAATGTCAGGAACTCCCCTCCTTGGGCTGGATGGGGTGGACACTAACGGGAAACTTCCCCCAGAGCGAGGCCAAGCTCTAGGCTGGGAGTGAGAAGGGAAGGCAGGCCAGTGGGGAGAGGAGCAAGGAAGAGGACAGCTGGGAGTCAGGTGAGAACCCAGAGGGGCTGCGAGGAATGTGGGCTGGAAGTGAACAGCCCTGCACAGATACACACACACACGTAGCCTGTGTGCACACGCATGCACGTATCTCCAGTATATGTGCACACATGTATGTACTGTATATGCACAGCACGTAGATACGTGTATCTAGGGTGTCTGCACACATATCTAGCATCTGTGCACATCTGCATACATGTATCTCTAGGTATGTGCCCACATGATTTCTAGCACATGCACACATATATCTCTAGCATATGTGCGTGCCCACCCCTGTCTGTAGTCTGTGCACATGACGTATTTAGTATGTGCACATTCACGTATGCATGTAGTCTTTGACTTAAGCAGGGGAGAAGTATTTTGATCAGGTTTAAAATCACCAAAATTAGATACGCATGTATGAAAATAATGCAAGCTTTAAAAAAACAAAAATCTCAAGTAACATGAGAATTCTAGAACTTTACAACCTAATTTTAAACAATTTAAAACAGAAAAAGTGAATGAAGTTAGAGGTTTTCAACAAACCTTTTTTTGGAGACGAAATCTCACTCACCCAGACTGGAGTACAGTGGTGTGATCTCAACTCACTGCAACCTCTGCCTCTGGGGTTCAAGTGATTCTCTTGCCTCAGCCTCCCAAGTAGCTGGGATTACAGGCATCTGCCATCACACCTGGCTAATTATTTCTTTTTTTTGTTGTTTGTTTGTTTGTTAGTAGAGACAGGGTTTCTTCAAGATGGCCAGGCTGGTCTCAAACTCCTGACCTCAGATGATCTGCCTGCCTTGGCCTCCCAAAGTGCTGGGATTACAGGCGTGAGCCATGGCACCCAGCCTAAGCCAACTTTTTTATAGGCACTTTTTAAAGACCAAAACTTAGATGAGGCTGGGCACAGTGGCTCACACCTGTAATCCCAGCTCTTTGGGAGGCCGAGGCAGGAAGATCGTTTGAGTCCAGGAGTTCAAGGCTATTGTGAGCTACAATCACGCCACTGTTCTGTAGCCTGGGCAACAGAGCGAGACTCTGCGTCTAAAAAGAAAAAATAAATTAGAAGAGATTTTTAAAGACAATAAAAGGATGCCAGCACTAAAACAGATTAAAACCAAGAAGTAAACTATGAGATTCAGATAAAGGTAGCCTTCGGGGTGAGTGGGTAGGAGATGTACCATCTGGAAGACCCAGAGCAGCGAGTGCTCCCCCCCCACGAAACCCAGCCCTAGAAGAGAGGAGATGGGTCACTCGGGATCGAATTGGTGGGTGCGGGAGGGGAGGCCCTGGCTTGGAGCCCGGCCCCCGTGGGGATGTGGGAAGCAGGAAGGATCCTGCCCCACTGGGGGGGCTTCCTACCTCTGGCTGGGCTGTGACCATATTGAGGGAGCGGTCGAATTCCTGCCCCAGTTGCAGGCAGCGCTGGGCTCAGATGTCTCATCTGGCTCTGTCCCGAGCCCGGGAGGGAACCCTGGGCCTCTCTGTCTACAGTTGGGGAAACTGAGGCTCAGGGAGAGTGAGGCTGTGATGGGGGTGGTGCCGCTGGGCCATGTCACAGCGGGACCCTTGCCATGAGATCTCCCTGCCTCAAGTTCCCGGCCCCACTTCCCTGCACCCGGCTCACCAGTCACCTGGGTCCCTCCAAGTCTAGGTGGCCCGGGGCCTTGGGTCACAGATGGGTACACACCTCATGGTCTCCTGCTTCTCACGGCCTTAGGACTAAGAGTCACCGCAACGCCTGTGTCCACTGTTGCCCCTGGTGGGTCCAGGTCCTGAGCCTCCTCCCCTGTCTCCTCCCCTCGCCCGCCATAGCTGCCCCGCCTGCCCCAGAGCCAGACCTGGAGGTAATGAAGGCACCGTGTGCGTCCCCACTGTGCACGTGCACCCGACCCGGCCAAGCTTAGGCTCTGTGGCTCTGTCCTCAGCTGTGTGTCTAAGTGGCTGAGATCTCGCGGTGAACTCAGGAGAAAGGCTCTGTCCTCAGCTGTGTGTCTAAGTGGCTGAAATTGCGTCGTGAACTCGGGAGGAAGGCTCTGTCCTCAGCTGTGTCTCTAAGTGGCTGAGATCGCGTGGTGAACTCAGGAGGAAGGCTGTGTCCTCAGCTGTGTGTCTAAGTGGCTGAAATTGCGTCGTGAACTCGGGAGGAAGGCTGTGTCCTCAGCTGTGTGTCTAAGTGGCTGAAATTGCGTCGTGAACTCGGGAGGAAGGCTGTGTCCTCAGCTGTGTCTCCAAGTGGCTGAGATCTCGTGGTGAACTCGGGAGGAAGGCTGTGTCCTCAGCTGTGTCTCTAAGTGGCTGAGATCGGGTGGTGAACTCAGGAGGAAGGCTGTGTCCTCGGCTGTGTCTCTAAGTGGCTGAGATCGCGTGGTGAACTCGGGAGGAAGGCTGTGTCCTCAGCTGTGTCTCCAAGTGGCTGAGATCGCGTGGTGAACTCGAGAGGAAGGCTGTGTCCTCGGCTGTGTCTCCAAGTGGCTGAGATCTCGTGGTGAACTCGGGAGGAAGGCTGTGTCCTCGGCTGTGTCTCCAAGTGG